CAAAGAATGCAAATTTCCGAGATCGGTGATTATGGACAAATTATGCAGAAAAAAAAATAAACGAAATGACAATCGGCGAGGCAAACAAATTAGGCGGGCGTATAAAAAATTTCACCTGCTGACAACTCGGGCCAAGGTAATCGACTTCGCCGCCAAATTTGGCGCAAAGCCGCCCTAGAAATGCTTTTCAGATATTGGCGAACTCGGCTAATGGATGGCTAGAAAGTGGCATGCCCCAAAAAAGCGAGAAATGGGCCACCTAATCGGGGGGCGGAAGTGCCAACCCCTTTGGCCCCGTCTCACTATATATATCTTTCCATATCGGTTCTACGAATTATCCAACGCTGTCGGCTCGCCACAAAAAACTCAAAGACTAAGTCAATAATTACACAGTCGCCGGCGATGGGCGATTCCTCCAAAATGGCACTAAGCGGTTCGAAGAGCGTGAAAAAACGCTTCCTATTATTAGTTTAATTTGTTTTGGGCGCGCAATTTAATTTATATAACAATAATCGTTTATAAATGATAAATTAATATGGGAAACAAATTGTATGGGCGGTCGAGCTGAAAAGCTCGTAGCTCGGAACTCTCATCTCTCGATCGCTGATGTTGAAGCGCCGAGTGGTCGACAAGTTGCCAAAATTGGCAAGGCTTAAATGGACATAACAACAACAACAACAAAAGCAACAACTTGCATAGAGATGGCTGCCAGCTTGTAATCAGTGTGTTTTTGTTTTTGTTGTAGCTGCTGGCCAACTTGGACCTGGTTAGTTATTTCCTATCCGCCTTTGTTCAGCTACTTTAGTGTGGGCCGCCTTTTGGATGGGTCACTAGTCGGTAGTCAGCGGTCTGTGGGCCTTTGCCTCTTGGCTTTCGTATTACGCATACGCCAAGCTGGCTTTGATTTGGTTTTGTGAACGGACGGACGGACAGGCGAGAACTTCCAAATAGGGAACGCAGCTGAGCACAGCGAATTTGGCTTTGTTGCGATTTCTTTTTTATTTAAATTAGTAGCTAACAAAGGGGAAAACTTAGGGCTTTTCTTTGGAGGGTCTCCCATTTAACTCTTCGTTTCCTGTATTAAGAATCCTATAAGTAACTGCTTACAACATCCACACACCTTACACCATTCGGAAATGACTTTCAGTTCTTTTTCGGACTTTAAATGAGCTGATTTATGGCTATTTGATGAGCACATTAACCGGAGGAGCAACTCCCCGCCAGTTATTTATGCTACTGCTCAAAAAGTTATTACATATTTAAGTTTATTGTTGGCTGCTTCGTATGCCGGGCACACGAAACCGAAACAGAATAACCAGCAGCTTCACCGAAATTCTTATGGGGTTTTTCAATATTCAACTCTTTTGTTGCTGCAACAACAACTGTGTGTGTACTGAGTGTGTACTTTATTATTAATTTTAAACGTGGGCTCGCAACAACACGAACACCCACAGCATTTGTCAAGTTGCTTGGATTCTTTTCTTCGTTTTGTTTTTTTGTTCTTGGCTGCTGGCCGCATTTGTTATTACTTTTTGTGGTTTTGTTAGTTTGCTTTTTGTGGCTGCAGTTGTTTAGGTTTTTTGTGTCTGTGCGAGTTGTATTCTTTCGAGATTAATACTTGCAATTTCGAACATTTCAGCACGTCGACGTCGCAGTCGGCGCCTGGTTCTAATTGCAAACGAAAATTACTCATACGCCGCGTTGTGCTCGCATAATTATCGCTTATTGCCACATTAAATCAGTTGGCTTGCGTGGGCAGTTGGCCTGGCTCAAAAAAATTATAATGAATATGAATGAAAAACACGGCGACTGAGTTGCGGTTGCCAAGTGACAACTGCGCATCCTCCCGTGTGCTGCTGAATAGCAATTATATTCGCGTTTCGCAGCCATTTTCACGTATATTGTTTAGCAAATATCTTGGCTTCGCTCTCCCTGCAATGAATTGCCTTTATGCGCTCATTTGCATATTAAATAAGCGGCTGCCACTGCCACTGCATCGGTGTTGGCTTGGCTTCGTGGCTGTTGTTTATATATTTCTCTTAGTTTTATTTCACTTTATCTTGCTGTTTTTTTTTGTTTTTGTTGCCGTTTGGTCGGTTTCTAAGCGGCAGCAGCTGCCGTCAATGCAAAGAACCCTGTTGGCTGGCTGATCGTAGGTTGGCCAGCGAATTACGCGAGGGAGCCGCGCTTTTTATTAGTATTCTCCATTTGGCTCGTTGACGCAAAAGAATGAAACGATATTGCATAAGGTGGAAGTGGTTTGGTGAGCTGCTTGCCCTTCGCCGTGGAAACCCACAATGTTGGGTTAAATGAGGCGGGGAAATAAAAACAAATTACAGGAAAATCATTAACTTAATCAGTTTGCATTGCAAGCTACTGAGTTGCTGTAATTTTATTTTATTTACCAAATGTTTACATTTTATACAATATATTTTTAAATTAATTTAAAAAGTATTCAAAGACAAAAAAGCAAAACTAATTTTAAAATTGAAAAATGGTAAAGTTTTTAAGGCCTTGTATAAATAATTAATAATTTCTAAATTCTGTAGATTTTCGATTTCAGAAATAATTAATTCTCCTATATTGGGAAAGTTCTGATTAATTATTCAGAAGAACGAAAGAATTTTTGAGAAGATGGCAGGTGAAAATAGATAAAAAAATTCAATGAAGTTATCAAATTTATCAAGATTATCTCTTGCCCATAAAATGCTTAATTTTTGGGTTATGAATATTTAGATTTTAATTCGCACACGTAGTAAATCCCTTATCGAATGAATTAAATCTGTTCCGATTAGACAGGTTGTAAATCAGCAGGCAATAATAAAAACAGAAGTGATTTGCCCAGCAAATAAATTCCAATGTAGATCGTTCAAGTTAATTATTGGCTAACTGCCTTAATGCCTTAAAGCCCATCCCTCACTTCTGAACGAGACCGCTGCAATTAGTCAAGCTCCCCGGCGAATTAGTCACATTGAGTTTCCAGTTAAAAGCCAGCTGCATCCATCTGAGCTCTTTTGTAATATGTTTTGGGTGGTCCGGCACAGCACACACTCATCTGTGGACCGGGTTTTGGATTTGGATGCCTTTTAGGGCCGTGCAGCTTAGATAACAATTAGAGAATAAATTTATTTGGACGCATGCTAATTTCAATATTTATTGGCCGAGAGACAAAGGAAAGGCAGCTAGCGAAGCGCCGATGTTGGGTGACTATTCTCCACCGACTTTTGGTGAAACAAGTAGTTGAATTTCCTTTTTGAAAGCTCAGCTATTGACAGGCAGAGAGTTACACTTATCTCCATCCGAGTGTGTGAGTGTGACATTAAACCACACACAAACAAGTCCGCCATATTTGGCAATTGACTTTGCAGCCAGCCAACAGTGCTATTCGCGAATCGCGATATATATCTACATATATACACACCGATCCGACTGCACAGAAATGAATAGTATCACTCGAGACTCTATATCGACACTATTTATCAAATTACTCAAGTCGTTTTGAACCAGCAACCTTTAAAAACTTATATCTCTTTGATAAGTTATTAACTAAAAGTTTGATTCGATGGGAAACCTGAAAAACCACCAAGTTTTTTTCTCTGTACCAAATAAACAGATATGCGTGCTTGGTTTTTTCATCTTTTAACTGTTTACGCTGCCCACATGCGATGCCCGATGCTTGATAAATAATTTTAGTTTTATAAACACAAATTGACACTTCAAATTGTTTGCCAAAAAACCAAAAAAAAAAAAAACCCCGAAACAGGGGAAGAGAGAACGAATCGAAAAATGAAATCAATTTGAAATAAGCCGCCGCGCTTTGAAGAGTTGGCGGAGATTTCTTTGGCCTCGAGGGGTGGAACCGCCTTTTCAGATTCAGATTGGGCATATCATGACCAAAAACACTTCTCGGAATCCAAAACGCAGGTAGCCGCCCCACTTGTTCGTGTTCTTGTTCTTGTTCTAACCGCCTTGGGGTCCTATAAAAAATGCGAATCCGATTCGAAATTCGTATCGGCAAAGATCTGAACACGGGCTCTAATTCCCCGGAGCAACCAAATGGAACCGTCGGCTCATTCGAGCACATTTAAGAGCTAAAGATCGCCAGATCCGCAGATCCAAAGAGCAAGGCGATCGGCGTTGGAAGTCGATCGTTATTGCCGCATTATGCTCGCGTTAATTAATTGTTTATTTGTCTTGCGATTACCGCCGATTTTCGTCATACATGTGGGGTATCTTTACCTACAGACTGCCTTCGATAGAGGTAACTGATTTTATTGTTTTGGTAATTGTTAGCAGTTTGTATTTAATTGGAATTTTGTTTTAATTTAACAAAACTGTAATCTAAAAAAAAAATATGTAACTTAATTTTAAACGATTGATTACATTTTTATTTTTATTTTCGAAGAAACGTTTTGATATGCAGATAAGGCAATCAGAAATGTAAGATTCAACAAAAAGTAAAAACATATAAAAAATTAATATATCAGTTCAAACATTTTTAAAGTGTTTTATTAACTTTAATAAAATGATTACCTTATTCATTTTTAAATTTTAGTAAACCTATTTATAGTACTCAAAACAACTAAAATTTGTTTGAACAGGAAACTATAAAATTTAAAAACTCGAAACATAACCTTTGAACTCATTTATAATGTTTAGGGTTATTGTATTTTTAATTAAAAATTCAACAAATCGATCTACGCTTTTGTTTATGCGTAGAAAAATATTGTTTTGGTTCCGATGGACAATGCATTAATGATATTTGAGGGAGGGCGCCAGGTCTTATCAGCATTATGGTTCCGCGTAATTGATCTAGTTTTGAGGCGTTCGCTTTTCACGCTTTTCAGGCTGCACTCGAGGAGGAAGTGTTGGGAGCGATTGGTAATAAATATTATCACAGTTGGCCGCGGCTAATGGGCAAACAAAAGCGCTTAATAGGCCGCTGGTCAACATACATATAGTATTTTGATATTTTGATAGCGACCGCGAGGAAAACTCACCATGGGAAATGCGGTGGGGAAAAACACCTGCTGGCTGGCGATCCAATTGGGTGCGCAGATCGGGATCTCCAAAACGGGAATGGATTTGCCGTTTATCGTACTTATCGAATGCACTTTGTTTCGCTTTTGTCAGGGGTTCTGGTGGCTGCCACTTTGCGGTTGCCGTTGCTGCTGCCGATTTAATTAGCAATACAAACACATTAGCTAATGCACACACGATACACCGATACAGCCTCACGAATTGTGGCGCCCACGCAGCGTGCAAAAAGAGCCAAAAGCAAACGCGTTTATTGAAAATGCAACGCGCACAGAACCCGAAGTCGCGCAGACTCAAAAGCCAAAATCAAATCAAAACCAAAACCAAAACAAAATAAACAGCCAAACGAGTGCGCCTGGCTTAACTTTAAGGCGGCAAATGGCGAATACTGACCGCTGCACTTGCACTTTGCGTTTGCAGTTGCAGTTGCAGTTGCTGGGTTCTCGCCTCGAAAACAACTCAAAACAACACTGAACACCGCAAAACACCTCACAACACCTTCTTCTTTTCCTTTTCCGCTGCCGGATAACCGATTCGTTCGAGTGATCGCGAGTATCTGACGATATTTTTCTGTTCACCATGGTAGAATAAAATATAAGTTAAATGTAGTCTCGTCGGCTCCTTTAGTCCGTTAAGAAATCGAAATAACGGCGAGCTTGCGCGGTTTGCTTTTCCGCCGAATGTCCGATCGCACGCGATAGTGATGTCGGCTGCTATTTTTAAAAACTTCAGATCAGCTATAAAAAGCTAAGCTTCGATTAAGGGTTTTTAAACATTATTTATATTACATTTTAAGCTGAGTCAATTTTGTACTGAATCATAAGCCATTGATAAAATACTTAAGATATTCTGTGGTTAAAATAATATTGGAGTATCTGCTTTTATAACTAAACTGTGTATACTAGGCGTATTAGTAATTTGGCATACGATAACTTTCTTAAGCGTATATAAAAATTAAAGCATATATAAATAATAAATTGTTAAATTATAAGAAGTTACTTGAGTGTCGTGGCTTAGTACATAACTAAAATGCTTGCACTGGTGAGTGCTGTTAACCGGTTCCTAAACTGGTTCCAAATAACAGAGTCGCTATTGATCGCCGCCAACAGAAGTAGTAGAAAAACCGCGCCAAATATTTAAAAAAACTGCGATGCGCTTTTTAAGGAAAAAGTTGGTTGAACCAAGGTTTACTTTCCCAAGCAAGCTGAAAAAGGCACTTTGGTGTGTTCCCATAAAAACCGGTTATAAATAAAGATAATATGTACTATCATATTCATTGGGATTATACTTAAAAGATTCCAAATATATTCTTACATTGGGATAGAGAAAAGCGCCATGGCAATAACATTAAAATTATTATTTTTGTTTTTTTTTTCTCTTGTTAGTGAAGTGACTTAAGACATTAAATGTAGTTTCTTAAAAAAAATGTATTCCATTTTAAATCAAGCGCCAGAGTAATGAAAGATGGGTATCGATATAAAATACTCGCATTTCGTTGTGACTGTCACTGGACGCGGGCTGCTTATCGATTGGAGCCTGGAGCATGGAGCCCTGGCTCTTGACAAAAGTCTCATCGGCGCCAATCATTTAAAAATTTAAACGCTAACAATGATTTGATAAGACCGAACAAACTACATAGTTGATATACAAAAATATATTTTCTTTTTTTTTTTGTAAACTGTTAGCGTTATTTAAATTTAAACTTCTGCCAATGTTTTTTTTAATTCGTAATGAATAAAATACAAATGGAAATTTAGTTGTAAGCTTAAAGATAAAAGTTGTAACTTTTTTAATTAATTACGTTTTTTCCAAGATTCTTAGGTGTCATGTGTAAGTTGCCTTAATAGCTTTAAAATGTATAAATCGGTTGATATTAAGGTAAATCGCTTGATAAAGGTAAGGTAAGGTAATGTAAGGTAAATTTCACTTGAAAAATTTCAAAAAATTCCGAAGTTATCGCTTCTCCCAATTAGCGAATCTTTTGCAACACATCAACGCGATGCTTTCCCAATTGAACAACAGCTTCGACTTGTTTATGGAAATGTTTGTTGACTCAAACGATGTTTATTTTGAAATGACTTAAGACTAGCTCGAACAACGCTCAACATGTGGGCTGGCCCAACCGAATCTAGAACCTAGAATCTAGAATCGTCCTTGGCCCTGGCGCGTCTCCTGGTGCGGATGGGTGCGGATGTACTCCAGGGACTTGAGGATGGCCACTGGGATGGGAGGGGGAGTGGGCAGGTGGGCGCCGGCGGGATGGAATCCGTTGGCATCGGCGGTGTAGGTCAGCTGGATGAGCTGGCCATCGGGGGCGTAGTAGGCATTCGACCCACTGGCATAGTATCCACCCACTCCCGATTCCTGTCCAGCAATTCCGTTGGAGGTCTGGTACTGGTAGCCATAGCTGCCGTCCTCCTTCAGATCGCTCTTGTACTCGCGGGTCTCCGCAGCCGCATCAAAGGAATCGGCTTGAACGCAGGCAATGGCCAAAGTGGCGACGGCAAGGACGAACTGCGGCAGAAAAAGGACATCAAATAGTTAGAAGGGTTTCCTTTTTCCTCGAAAATACTCATAAACTCCCTCCACTTACGAATTTGTTCATTTTTGGGCTGGATTGGGTTGGGCCTGACTTGTTGTCACTGTGAACTCGCAACGAGAATGAATGTGGCTGAATTGGCCTGGCGGCGCATTTATAGCATTTTGGCACGCCAATCATTTTGGGCCGGGCACTCGCAGTCGCCGTCGCCGAAAACGCGTATAATTTGCAGCATTGAACATGAACTGCCCCTCACACAGATACAAAATGTAACCAACACACACTTATATATTGAAACACTCCGCTGGAGACTCTTCCATCGAAACATTTCGTTTTCTGTTTTTTTTTTTCTGCTTGGTGATTGTGCTTTTAGTGTGTGTGAGATAGTTTTTTTGGCCATAAACTTTATGCTCCTTTTTGTTAAAGTTGTGGTCAGCCAGTTAATCAATTCGAAGCTCAATGGTGGGGAGGGGGCTGTTCATTTTTCATTAGCACCTACGCAAATTGTTAAGTTAGCACAATTCGTAGTTTCCCATTCAGCGGTACAAGTTTTATTTCCTGGGACAAGAAAACCTGAAGATGGGTCCCCGTGAGCTGGCAAATTACTTTAAAGTGTCTGGCTTTATGGCAGGATCATTTATAAATGTTGCGCCTAGGCCTTTTCCCCCAAAAATCATATGCGAAAACTTTGTAATAAATCGTTCGCCGAGTCGGCGAAATCGATTAAGAACCTCACATGCTGGGTCAACGCATTCATTTATTACAAAATCACCGAGCGCGCCCAAAAGTGAAAAAGGCAAAAGCCCAAGAAGAAGAAGAAGAAGAGGAAGAGGAGCAACCTCGACTTTGGAGCAGACGAACGACCTTGCCACAGCGACCCCCAAAACACTGGCAGACTGTCCGAAAGTACGACACTTTATCGACAGCGCACCGGGCAAGTTTGTATTAAGTTTTGATAAGGAAACTTGCGATGAGCCCAGGATGACGTGACTCACGGGGATCACGGGGAGTTTTGGCAGTAAAATATGAAACGAAGGGTTTTTCCAAAGCGAAATACTGTTTTGCAATGCCTTAGTGGGCAAACTTAACTGAAAATAAGATATACATAAATTAAAATATGATATACATAAATTTAAAATGAATTTAAAAGCTTTAGGAACAAAAAACAAACAAACATTTTAAATAAACTAGGATAATTATTAGGGCTTTGAAATTCCATTTTTATTTAAATAAATTTATTTTAAAATTATTATATATTTTTAGATGACTTGTACACTAATTAGAATATATTTTTATTTTCTTGGACACATAAATATGTATCTGGAATATATTGACATTGATATAGTGATAGTCGGAGGATAAAGAAATAAAAATGATTTACACTCAAGTTATTTCTTTACTCTTATTTAGATTTCTTTAAATCTTTTTACGGCATTTAAGCACGAAATAAATTTTAGACACACTATATACACGTTAATTTAATACCAATAAATTTATACTACGCTTTAATAGTAATACGAAAACGGTCAATTCATTAACCTCTGCCTTAAATTGGCATCTGCTCTCGTTTTGGCCGCATTAAAGGTGCCCGTCTGCCATCACTAAAGTGGCCAACAGGCATCGCCGAGCAGCAACAAAATCGTTGACGGCAACAAGAAGAGCTCGACTCGGAGCGCATGCTGTTTCCCCTCGCTGTTTCCCTTGCAAGATTTGTTGTGTTGGCCTTTTGCAAGTACATGGCTAGCTTGGCAACCGGCCACCAGACTGAATCTGCGAATGGGAATCGGAGTGGGAATGGGAATGGGAATGAATCTGAGGGCGGTTTCGGGAGAAAAGTGAATGTGATGGAGGGACGATGTCGCATTGAAGGAAGGGGCATCATCAGAAGCAGCATTATCTGCTTTTTGCTCTGCCCTCTGTTTTGCTGGCCTTTTTGGTGTTACTTTTCTGCTTTTATGCCCCAAACCGGCTGTTCGGCAATTTGGCATTTTTTTTTTCATTTTTTTTTTGTCGGCCAACACACAATTGTCCGGTGGCTGCCGCTTGGGTGGCTTTAAATGAAAGCAAAAGTTGTTACGATTGGCTGGCGTTTCCTTGCCGGGTTGCCTTAAGCCGCTTCCGCCGTACTTAGCCATCCTGGCCAAGAGTCCTCCATCCGCTCCTCGCTTCTTCGCTTCTGTGCGTCTGAGCCCCATCCATTCCTCCATCCATCCCCCCATCCATCCATCCATTAGGGCATCAATCCATCTTCGCGCGCATTAAGCGGAGACAAGAGGCACCAGCGGAAAGTATAAAGAAGTAAAAAAAGGGGACACGCTGTGGAGCAGCGACTCCTTGGCCAGTTGCTCACGCTCACCTGCTCCACATTAATTGACCCACATTCGGTGGCAGCAACTCGTCCAGTTGGCTTCAGACTGGTCCCATTCCCATTTCCATCCAGTCCCATTGAAGGTCGTCGCCTGAAAGCAGCGTGTTTTAGCCCTAGTTTGGGCAGCTCTTCGGATGTTTATTTTACGACTACTGCAGCATCCGCACAGAGAAAAAAGTCTTTAACTTGAGTTCTAAATAGTGAATTATATTTATAAATAAATATTCATTATGCAATGACATACGAGACTTACAGTAGATAGTTATATTCGTTTAGAGCAATCAAACCATTTAAACATTAATGTGAATGGTTTCTTGGCAACCTAAAAAAGCAACAAGTAGACACAGTAAAGAACAAATATTGCTTGATTAATTTTCTTTTATAAATATATTAAATTTATTACAAATGCATTGTTTTTTTTTTGTATATTAGTTTTGGTTATATTTAAAATTAAGACTTTGTGTATGAGAACAATTTCATTATCTGTACATTTGTATACATATGTAAATTATTTTATTAATATCCTAAATCCATATTCATGTTTATATTATTCATTATTCATGCTTAAATTCGTTTAACAACTTTTCAAACCTTTATTAACATTATTTATATTTATTTATTTTCAGCTAAAAATATTCCCATAAATTTCTCACTGTGCATTTCGGGCAGGTCAGCGTTTTGCATTTGAATTTTTATGGGCAATCCGCTGCTCCACATTCACTCATCTGATACGTTTAGCGGGTTTAATTAATTAATACACTGTCAACGAAAGCGGCGCTGGCAGACTGTCTGGCCACTTTTATTGACCGTTTATCCAGTTTCATTCATTTGTTAGCCCTCGCATTTGATACCCCACCGATTCTGGTTCGGATGTAACCCTATATAATGCCTGAAATGCCGAGCAGAAAGCGTTGGCGTTGGGCGTGGAAGGTCGGCCCTTGGGGGGTTTTTTTTGTTGTGTGGACGGATGGATTGCCGCCAAACAAAGTCAACGACTTTCGAAAATCTTGCCGCAATGACCTTCAATCGCTAGAGACAAATTGGTCCGCTAATTGTTGGTAGTTGCAACTTTCATATCGATTCGCTTTGCAAATTGGTTGGAGGTGCGGATTTTGTTAAGTTGGCACTTGTAGCTTCAGTTTAAGTCGGCTCACATGGCTCTATTGAATAACCCAATTAATTGGTTTTTCATCCATTTTATTTTTGGACTACATGTATATCTGCATTTTTTTTGGTGTGGCCGATGTTTTAAGGCTGGCTGATGGATTTTTAATCAAAAACTTGATTCAATTTGCATGTTTCAAGTCCATTTCCCCTCGCTGTCGCGCAAACTTTGAGTGGTAGACATCTTTTGACAATTCATTTGAATGCGTGAATGTGCCATAACATCGCACTACTAATTGATTTCGTTCGTAGGCGATGCAATAAAAGCTTGAGGAAATTAAGGCAGTTCATAATTTATGTTTTATCCCAGCTTTTGGTTTTTTATTAAATAAAATTCTTCACTAGCGATGGTGGCATTCAGACTGTGATTTTATTTTTTTAAGAGAGAGAATTTTTATGAACATGCGTGTAAGTGTCGCAGTCACAGTAAAAATTACGACAAAAATTATATTGGCTTATTTATGACATCTGTGCATCAGATGCAAATTTAATGCGCTTTCACAGCTTTACTGAGCATAACGATGGAAATATGGCTTTTCCTGCACCACATTTACATACCAGAAAATTCCTGGGCTTTAAAGATGCAGAGTTATTGACTTTAAATGAAATGTCACAATAAAGGTTAAGAAATCAAACTGATTTTAGTTTTTTTATTAACAAACTAACTTTGTTGTTTGCCACATAAACTGTCGAAAGTATTTTAGTTGTTGATAACACAATTAATTTCAAAATATAAACTTATTTTCTTCATTGTGAGCAGCAAACAGTAGCAACAGATAATTATTTATTAATATTTAGTAAAATGTCTGATTTAAGTTTTTTATTAACAAACTAACTTTGTTGTTTGCCACATTTTGTAAAACATATTTTCTCTAGCTAATTGAGACATTTATTAGTGATTTGTAAACTGTCGAAAGTATGTAGTTGTTGATAACACAATTAATTTGGAAACACAAACATAATTTTATGCACTGTGAGCAGCAAACAGTAGCGGCAGACAACTGTGACCTATTTATTAATATAATATTAAGTAATACGTCTGATTAATATTTTTTATCAACAAACTAACTTTGCAGTTTACCACATTTTTTAAACATATTTTCTATAGCTATTTAAGACATTTATTAGTGGTTTCTAAACTGTCTAAATTAATTTGGAAACATAAACCTAATTTTCTGCATTGTGAGCAGCAAACAGTAGCGGCAGATAACAGTGACCTATTTATTAATATTAAGTAAAATGTGCAGTATGCGTTGAACCAGTTGCCCAAACATCAAAACCTCAAAACCAGGTGAATTGTGTGGATGAGTTATGAACACGGGCTGCTTTCAAATTCTGATCGATTAGCATCTACCGATTTCCCATGCCGGAGTCGGGGTAAATTAGCAATAAATTTGTTAGTGGGAGGAGGGGAAAAGCTCTTTCGTTGGCCATTTCACGCCTAACGCACCCACAAAAACCATTTAGCACGAGCCATACGAGCCACATATATATGCTTATCCGATCTGGTGGCGTTATGCCATGCTCGGTGGATTGATGAATGCATGGGAACATCGGAATCCATTACAGATTTCGTAAAAGTGGTCGTCTTACATACGAATGTGAACCGATGAATGTGTGTGCAACCTCGTCGTGGATAATTAATGAATTAACACAAACACTTAATTACTCGAAATACCCGGCAGCGAAAGAGTTTCTTGACCCGCGGGGAGTGGAGGAGGTTGAAGGGGTCAGTCAGTCAGCCAGTTGGTCAGCTCGCAGCTATCGTTTTCACTCAAAAAGGTTTTAAAACTCTTAATGGAAATTGGTGTGGAACGCACCTATATAACCGAGATAATTGGCGTTGCAACCGTTGCTGGCTCTCGGCTATGAAATCCATATGTTGTCGATGCGAAGTGATGAGTTCGGAGTTTGGTTTCCATTCCCCTCTTGGTCCGCAATTATCATCACCATCAAGTCTAATGGCTGCACACCACTTTCCTCACTTTCGTCGGTGGGTCTATTTTGGGTTTTCTGGGCTATAAAAGCGCCGGGTCGAGGTTACCGAGGCATCAAACACACAGCTTAGCTCTTAGGGTCAAACCAGCCAAATAAACCATAAGCCAAATCTCAACCTAAGCCAGGCGAAAATGTCGAAGATCGTAAGTCAAAGGATTCGGACAGCCCTCCAGGGCTTTCTCACATGTGTATAGAATGGTAACAATAACAATTCATGTTTGTGATTGCAGAACGTCGTCGTACTTGTGGCCGTGTCCTTGCTGCTCGGTGGAGGAGGAGGAGTCCTGGCTCGTCCCTCGGATTCCCCGGATGCCCATGCCGAGATCCGGAGCTTTGTCAACGAGCTGAAGCAGGAGGACGGCAGCTACAACTACCAGTTCGAGACGTCCAACGGGATTGCCCAGCAGGAGCAGGGAGTGGGTGGCTACTATGCCAGTGGGTCATCCCAGTACTACACCCCCGAGGGTCAGCTCATCCAGCTGACCTACACCGCCGATGAGAACGGATTCCAGCCGCAGGGCGAGCACCTGCCCACGCCGCCACCCATTCCGGAGGCCATCCTGAAGTCGCTGGAGTGGAACCGCAACCATCCCGAGGAGATCGATGAGTACGCCCATCACCAGGAGCACCATGAGCATCACGAGCACCATCACAATGGACAGGAGCAGGGCAAGCAGTATCTGCAGCCAGCCGGAGCACTGTTGGCACCCCAATCCTCGCCAGCGGTGGCGGTGGGTCAGGTTTTGCCCTACGACAGGAAGGTTTAAGGTTTAAGGCTGAGGCATCTGCATAATCCATAGCATCCATAGCATCCATCCTGTCCAGCTGCCTCGTGTTTCGGGTGTCTGTTTGCACAGTCAACGCATCTCACATCGAACATAAAGCAAACAGCATATAGCATCCCATATCCCGCATCCCGTATTCCGCATCCAGTGTCCATCAAACGAAGGAATGAACATCGAGAGGCGAGTACATCTGGAGGCGGCGGCACACCCACAACACGCACAGCACAGCACAGCACACACTGTATATATAGAAGCTCATACATTTACATCAACATGCTCCTCGGGCTGCTCGACGGAGGAGGTCCTTCGTCCTGTGACCCAACTCCTCTGTCCTTCGGTCCCGTGTCCCTTGTCGGCTCGACTGACGTTGACATTTATTGCCAGAGATAATAATAATGTAATAAAAGAAAAATACAATTTAATATGCTTGTTTATACTATGAATGCCTTCGCCAAGAAGAGAGCATATGGCCGTGCCCTTAGCCATTGCACGGGGAGAAAAAAAAAAACAGTGACATTTTATGGGTCAGCAAGCCATATTGTTTAAGGTTTACTTCGTCAATGCAAATATCTGAAAAGCATTTTAAACATTTCAAGCAAAGTGAGGTAATCCCCGGTGTAAAAGTAGTATGCATTATAACAATGAAATTTATTTATAAAATTAACAATAACATTAATTATAAATATGGTGAATTTAGTCATATCTAAGGCTCATCTAATCCTAAACCTATAAATATTAGAATAATATTTTTAATACTTCATGCGAACTGAGTATGCAAGAAGATTAAAGTATTCAAATAACATTTTTCCAATATATCAAAAATAATGTAGAATGTACCAAGAAATAATTTATATATTATTTATATAAAGTGACCTCTAAGTCACACCTAATCACTTTAAACTTGAAGTCCCCAGTTCGTAAGAAATATTAATATTGATAATCGTTTGACCAACAATTTAAGGGTATTCCCCTTAACAAGGTAAATGTAGTGATTCATTTTTTTAACAAGTGTGAGAAACAAGTTTATCATTCAAAAGAAAGAAATTAAATGCCAAGTAAATTTGTTTTAACCTCTTAAACAATTTGCTCATCATTTTGTTGTTATGTAATGAAAAAAAAGCGAACCTGGAAAAGAGAAGAAATATTTTCTCCCTGTGCAGATGGCATCGCCTCGCCCACATGCATTATCGCAGTGGCTAACCCCTTGAGATTTTCCTTCAAGTGTGCAGATCTGGTTTGACCATATCAATCCAAGCTGGATTGAACTTCCAATCAGAAATTAATAAATGCACGCTCGCATTTGTTGCTGGGCGGTTGTATTATGCAAATTGAAGTCGGCCCTTCGATTCAAGTTGATTCGCGTTTCGGACTCAAGAAATGTTGTAACTTCAAATATCATTGTTGAGTTGATTAAATTAACAAGTTGTTGCTTTTGTCTGCTGGCTGCCGCTATTTGTTGTTGTTTGTGTTAATCTCGGTGGCGTTTACTATTGTTTCTGTTTGCCGAAGAGCAACATTCGTCTTTGATTTTGATGCATTGAAGTTGTGTCATCAGCTCCACCCAAGCTGCTGATTTGTTAGGGTAAACACAACGAGTTCAGACAACAAAATCGTAAATATTTCATGCACATTATTTGCCGATAAATAGGTCTTGAATGGGGAAAATATGTAATGAACATATGGTAAAACTGTTAGATAAATACACTCATTATATTATTTAAAATTAATTCATATTGAATCCAAAATACATTATATATACATAAAAATTTTAGTAAAATAAATATGCTCAATTGTAATGTCTAAAATGTATACAAAAAAAAATTATCTTTTCATCAAAAATATTTGTAAAATGCAAGTAAATTTATAACAGCTAAGAAGGTGCTAATTTATATTAATAAATATTTTATTATCAATTTTGATCTTGTATGTTCCAAATATGCATAGTATTTAATGTGTGTATAATATTTGATATGCAAATACAAATTATTCTGTTACTAAATTTAATTTCTAAAGAGTATTCAGTAATCTTTAATACTTCATTATAGGAACTCCATGTCTTGCATTAATGACTGAAAACGTGTGGCCAAAAGCAGTTCGATTGGTCAAAATATGGGTCGCTCTGCATGCTCGACTTGTTTGCATATTCGGAGTCTGCATATTGGCTTTGTCTTTGACCATATCGGAGCACTATAAATAGTCAATCGGGCGACCAGAGTGACAGCATTAGCCCCTCAGTCAACAAACCAGCAGCAGCAGCAGCAGCAACATGTTCAAGCTCGTAAGTGGATAACCGAGCAGAGTCCTTCTGCCTGAATCGATTCTCCGATTCCTAATTGACATCCTTGGACATTTCCGAAACAGCTCCTTGTCGTCGCCCTTTTCGGATGTGCCGCCTTGGCCGCCCCCCTGAACGATGATGTCATCACCAAGTTCCTGGCCAACCAGGACACCGATGGCACCTACGCCTACGACATCCAGCAGGCCAGTGGCCTCCAGATCCAGGAGGAGGGTCAGGCTGGGCACTATGCCCGCGGATCCTACAGCTACACCTCCCCCGAGGGAGTGCCCGTCCAGGTGGTGTACACCGCCGACGAGAACGGCTTCCATCCCCAGTCCGATCTGCTGCCCACTCCCCCACCAATCCCAGAGGAGATCCTGCGCTCCATCCGCTTCATCCAGGAGCACCCAACCCCCGAGGAGCTGGCCGATCGCGCTGTCCGTGCCCAGCAGATCTAAACCAGGATCACGAATCACGAACCACTAGCCTTAAGTTAGCCAAAGATGTGCTCATCCATTCCACCAGATTAAAAGAACAGCATCCAGCATCCGCTGGTGTTAATTCCACTTACTTGCGGCCTGTTTAATTCGCCTGGGAGAGAACTAATTAGCGGGGCAATAGAATTGATTTGAGTCTCTCCGCTAAAGCTGAGACAATGCCAAGCACTTGATAGTGAATATTTAATGCCCAGCACTGCGTGAGTGTCTCCTTGTGTGAACAGTGGTTCCAAAGTGCTCCAAACTTGGAGTTTTGTTTCTTTGACCACAGCAGATATTCAAAAGTTTGGTGGAAAGGAACTTTCTGTAGTTATCTATTATATATAACTGAAGGCCAAGGTCAACGTGGGCGAAACGAAAACCAGACCTTCGGGGGTTTTTTGGTTTGAATAACATCGAATTTGTAAAGAAATTGGGGTTAAACTTGTTTGGGGCCAAAACAAGTCTGCAGTTTCTCGGTTTGTTCATTTTTACACACGTGCTGAAAGGTTTGAAGAAATGTGGCTCTACCTTTGCTCAAAAAAACGCTGGCAATAAATTGGCCAATAAAATATTTTATTTGAAGGTAAAATGAATTTAAAGACAACAGAAGTTGTGGAAGTAAAGGTACTTCGATTAGGTGACAAAATATAAAGGCCTTCCTGTAATTAAAGTAATCTCAGTAATTGCCTTTTTGTAAGATATACCTTCCATAAAATATTCATTAAATTTGGCCATAATTCCCATAAAAAAAAACACTCAATTTGGTCGTCGAAAACACTGTGCTTTCGCTGCTCATTAACATTTGACATGAGGCAAGTTAATTTCTGCTTTTGGCTGCGATTTTATGGGCGGGAATTGAATGAGTGTCTGCTGGAAATGGAAATTCATTAAGACACTTACATTCGGAGGAGCAAGAGGAGCAGCCAACTAGACTCACAGACACAGACACACAGCAAAGAAACTGGCAGCAACTTGGCTAACACGCACACAAATTCATTGAAGCGTGCGGGTTTTTTTGGCGGGGGAAAAATCGGGGAACTCGGGGAAATCGGGAAACTCGGGTCCGGGCCTCTCATATCAATTAGGCACGCTCAGCGGCGGATATGAGTAGTTAATTAAAAAGATTGGGACGCCAGGAGAGTTAATATGCGATGTGTGAACTGCTATAAAATTCTGACTGCCGAAGGACGAATGGCCCTTTGTTTCCGCACAAAATTCACGACTTCAGTTTTCGGGGTCTTTAACAATGCTTATGCTAATGTCAACCCATTATATATCTGGGGGGATCTGGGCTTGGGTTCGCCACTTGAGGCACAGGTGCTTCAGATTCCTGCTGCCGGGGACAAGGACACAAAGCTGCTGCGTAATCAAAAACTTTTATTTATCATTTTGCTGCAAAATCTAATTATAAATGCGCTGTGGAAATGTGGCTCTTTTTTTCCGGTTCACCTCGCTCGGAGGCCCCTGAATATGAATCTGAATCAGATTCGGAATCTGAATCTGAATGAGAGTTCCTGGATCCCAGTGTTTTGTGGCTGTGGCGAGTATCCTGCTGTTTATTCCCAGTGATTGTCTCGTCCATGTGGCAAGTCGTAAACGGCAAGTCTGCTGCTCGGTTGTGATCTGCTCTTCGTGCTGGAGAGGCAATAAATTTTTAAATGAATTCGAGATTTGAGCTGAATCGTAAAATGCCAAACATGCATAAACAGTTTGTCAAGTTTTAATAATTGAAACGTGCTGGTGTTTCCGCGTGTCTTAAAGCCATTTAAGGTTACATTTTACGAGTATGGTGATGGTAGATCTAAATAACTAATTTATGTACTCTTGAACTGAACATAAAAGCAAGATTTTAATCAAACATCCGAGGGGTTCGATTCGTTAAGCCTTTGAGTAATGCGGGTGCTGATAAGCCGGTGCACTTTCCGGAAAATTTCAGCCCGTATATTCAGGAGCATTAAACAAATGGGCCAATAACCCTAAGCTCAGTGGCCGTGCAATTTACTTTTATGGTCAGTATAAACTATGCACAAAATTAGCCTTTCTGTACGTCTTTTATTTGGCCATAACTCAACCAACTGTAGCGCATTTGGGCCACCGAACCAAGGATAGACAAACAGAAATACCCTTTTGCGACCGTTTCAATGTAAATACTTTTGCGGGCAACAGGGATACAAATGCGGATGCGGATACCTTTCCTATTCGTCGGGATTGCCAGTGGCCTGTGGGCGGGATCGACGGGGACGGCATGTCCATATTTAAGCAGCCAAACAACGCCGGGCAGAATACAAAAAAACAAAAAATTACTTTGTTTTCTGGCTCCAGGAACATGGTCACGGCATGTGTCACGTAGCTGCCAAAATATGCGAGCGAGTGCTCGAAAATGACACGGTTCTTTTCTATTTTTCCCCCCCCTGAAAAAAACGGATCCCAAAACGGGCGGGCATTTCAATTAAGCAAAAACTGAAGCTGAAACTGAAAGTCAAACTGAAACAAGGGAAAAGCAGAAGGGAGCCAGCCCTTTTGTTATAGTCATATTTATAGGGAGTCCCGGGAAATGAAATTTCCTTAAACATTCTTTAGCCGGCGAGCGAGTATCAAACTTTAATGCTTCGCTTTTCACTGTTTTCACTTTCCATTTGGTGTGCAATTTCTCTCTTGCCAAGGAATAAAGTGAAAAGAACGGAAAGAAAAACATTCACTGGCTGTATTAATAACAATAGTTCCGGCCATTTGCGATGGCCAGTTGATGATGGAGGTGGATTGGAAAATGCGGGAGGAGATCGGAGGAGGATGCTTGTTGGCTGGCAAAATGAAAAATAATTTCCAGCAGTAATTGCCAAAAGGAAAACTTTCGGTCAAAAGTGCGGATGAGCGAGGAATTCCCCACGATTCTGTCGACATACCAATACGGATGACAACAGCCAGGGCTAAACAGACAAACGAAACCAATTTATTTCCAAGTAAAAATCAATAGTCAAGTGGACGGCGGATCGCGGGGTCCCGGGGCCAACTAACGTGAAAATCGTAATCGTAAAAAAAAAGACGTCAATTTTTTTATAGAGGCGACCAAATTGTGTGTCCAAGTGTGTGGCCCATCAACATGTGAGCATGTGAACGTGAAGATGCCACCTCGAATTCGTGAGTTTGCCGGACACTCGGCCGTCATTATTCGATGGCCTCCGTTCCCATTTCCAATCAAAATCCAACTCCCACTTTTCCTCCCGAAACTTCACTTCACCATATATGGGGTGCACTTATATCCGTGTCGGGGCGTTCGGCTTCCGGAATCCGTTTTCGTTAACAACTGCGCCCCAAGTAGCGCACAAGGATAGCGACAACAACAACAACAACAACAGCAACAATGTCGGGCAGGACGACAAGGACAACAACGGTGGCGCTTAATAGTGAAATATGCATTTGACATGCGATGAAGCACAATGAGTGCACCGAGAAAAGCGCCGGCAAAGGTGGCACTTTTGCATATTCAATGGCGCTGGATGCCAGCAAAACATTCTCAAAATAGCATAACATTTTTCAGCGCTCAAAGAACCTTAGATTTCAAACTGATTTATTCAAATTTTATTACCAGTAATTTAATAGGTTTTACATATTTTTTTCTGGATACCTACCAACCTTTAGATTTTAAAATGATTTATTCAAATTTTATTACCAGTAATTTAATAGGTTTTACTTATTTTTGGGATACCTATCAACCATACAGTAGTTGATTTTTATTTTGAAGCCAACAATTAAATCAATAAATTCGATACGCTCATTGTTTAAATAACCACCATTCGGAGTATAAATGAATTATTCATTTAAAAATGATCTCTTACATTCTTTAAAAACTTAATTAATGCTAAACGAAAGCGTAATTAAGGGAAGGTAATTAAGGGATAATCCTATCGGATTTATTTTCAAACTAATTAAGAACTGCTCAAGTAATTGGCTTTTAAATCGGAATGTGTTAGAACTGTTTTAACTTTAAAAGGAGTATTGGGCTTGCTTTATTTTTTTTTTTTTGCAGTTTCAACTATGATTTCTAATAATAATAACCACGATTGTTATTTTTCCAAGTGTGTAACGGCCACGCGATTGCTTGCTTATTCGCGGTCATTTGTTTAAAGGCCCGATTAATTGGTCTGCATTTGTTGGAGGCAGCGGAGCGGACTGGCGATAAGCCAGAAATATGTTCTTCACTTTAGATGTGACATTTTGATTGCGACTACATTTTTGAGTTTTAAGCCACAGCTAAAAAGTATGCCATGGTTTTAACTACAATATAATTAAGCACGCATTTAAGTACAGGGAAATTCAATAACGCTTTCTTAGCGACACACATATGGAGGGCAGCACTAAATTTGATTTCAATAATTCAATATTAGACAGGAAGGAGCCCAAAGTAGACACAAAGTAACAGCAACAGTCTTCTTCGGGCCAAGAGCTAACAGAGTTGGCTAACAGCGGAGAGGAATCGCGCCTTTTAACTGGCCAACATTGTCCTCCGACTTTCAGTTGTCTGTTGCTCGTGAGCGGAGCAGGATTTTCTGAGTGCTCCCCAGTGCTTTTCCCTTCCTTTCCTAAAAAAAGGACTCGATTTCGTACGTAAATATTTATGTTGGGGAAAACCCGCGACCCGAGCTCGAATATCGCGAGTGTGTGCGGCGGTTATAAAAAACTACGAGTGCGTTAAAAAGTTCACACACAAATTGCATTATTTCCACGCTTACGATATATTGGCGCGTTTTTCATGCTTTGCATATTTTTTTGGTGGTCGTCGTAACTGGAACAAAAGTGTAATGTATATGCGGGGGTAAAAAGTTTAGGGCGATTGTTGTGGATGTGAATTTTGCATAAGGACATGAGAAGCGGCACCCAGGAGAACTAAAAGCGGAAGGGGCCGCTTTCATTCCGGACACAGGCACTCAGAAAAAATGATAATGTTGCAGCTGTAAAAAACAATGGTTAACTTGTTTACTTTACAGTGCAAATATTCATTTGTTTCACTTATTTAAATATGATATGAATATGAGATAATATTTATAATAATGTATAATAATAATATTTTTTACTGTGCATCACATATGCTTC